CAATATATAGATTATGAAACTTTTTTGGGATTACATGCTATGAAACAGTAAATACTGTTTTAGAGTTTTGTCAAAACAGGTAAATGTGAGACATTCACGATAGACGAGAGGATATCGAGAGAGTGTGAGTGAGAGTACGCGAGACCTACTTTTTGTGTTCAAATATCATATAGTGTTAAAAAGGCGTTCAAAAAACACAAACTATTTGTTGTTATTTTGTTTTTATATATTGTTTATTATTGGCCGTCACTTCTAAGCCGTCCTTTTGCCGTATGATTAGCGCACAGACCGCACATCACAACCAACTCTTTCATTAATGGTAAGCATTATTATCACACAATTCGCACACTTTTGTCGGCAAATGTTCTTCACGTTGTTTTTGTCGATCATTTGTGTAAACTTTAGACAACTTTTAAAAACTTGAATTTTAAATGTAACTCAAAACGAGATGTGAACGCAACAAATTCTGGACCAGAATTCATATATCGTTAGCGAGATGTCAAAAAGTAAACCCAATAACACTATGAAATAGATGTAAATTGTTTTTTGGTCAATATATGGCTAATTGATAGGAAATGTATGCCTTTTCCCGGAGTCACAAACCTTAGATAGAAAGGGCTATTTTGTGCGATCCCTCTCTCATACAAATCCTATTTAAGTAATTGTTTTGTGGCATTAGTTTCTTGTCTGAACGCAATTCTCGCCATTTTTTAGACATAATGAATAAAAAATAATATTTATGCGAAAAAAACTAATATTACATTTGCAGTGATTTGTCGTCAGAGACGGCACTCATTAGTGATTTGTCATTCATTTCGTTGTATATTTGCATTCACTCTCAGATCCAACTATTTTATAGTTTAGTTTACGTTTCCATTACTTATTGTGTTTAGAAAATACTATTTCCTTTCAATTCAATGGGATATTTATATATCGATAGGAATATACAGTCGAGTAGTGAAACAAAAGGCAAAGTCTAACAAATGAACAAATGTTACCGTTTTTTAAACAATATCTGTAATAAAAAAAGTATATATTCTTATCATTTTTTTATTCATTGATAATAAATAAGAGCATTATTTATATATCACGGATAATACTGTACAGTATTTCATACAATTAAAGAAGTTAAATGACTAAAAAAAAGTTTTGTTTCAAAAAAGTCACCGATAAGTAAGAAATAACAAAGTTTTGCTCAATACAAGTGTAATACAAATAAATAAATAGATTTATGTTTAAAATATTGTGATTACAATTACTTTATATTGTTTTTTGTTATAAATTCAATCTCAATGTCGATTTCATTAACAGTAACTTATATCGCATTGTCTTACATTCAAAGTGTCTAACAATTTGAACAAGTTGTGTCAATTCAACAATTATTATTGTTATTTATATTATTAAATATATTTATTGTGTTTAAAATCATCANAAACGATATCGTAATAAAAGCCTTTATTTATGAGACTTTCGTTTTATTTATTTATTTTGAAATTTATTAACAAATAAATTAGAATTTCTTCACGTATTTAACACTAAATATATTAAATAACATTTCGGTCCAAACGCTATATTTTATGTTATAATTTCATGTAATGAATACTTTTTTACAACTAATGCATTAATTTTGCAAAGTATTTGAGTTAAATGTATACTGAATTTGTTTGGATAGCACTCGCTATCTATCGTATCGTAAATATATTGTCGCTAAAGAATATCATTTATTTCCCTTTTACTTATATCATGTAATGTTGCCTTAATTTTATTAACAAATTTACAAATTTTCTGGATTTTAATCATTTTATTACAAATAAGATTTTATTATAATATTTTCTTTATATTTATTTATTTTTAAGAATATTCCAAAGTTTTACAGAATAATATGGTATACATTGTTTTGTAATTATGAGCTTGGTAAGTACATTTTGGAATTTGTTTCAAAATTAAATCCTTATTTGTAAAAGTTTGATTTGCATAACAATTTGTGATTGTTTTAATCGTGCAAATGAACCATAATCTTCATGCCCTCTCCTCTGTCAAAAGCCTCAAACGCTTTCGTCACTTCTTTGAGCTTAAAATGGTGTGTAATTAATGGCTTGACATTCAATTCACCTAAAATATTGTAATTATATATTAATTTATAATATTTAAAGTAATTGTAAAAAATGCATATTCAAATTATAGATCAAAGTTATGATTAAACACATGAAAACTTAAAAACATAAAATACCGGAACCGATGAGTTTTGCGGCCAATGGGAAACTTTAGAAAATAAAAAACAATTTAATTAGAAAGGTGTTTTAATTGTAGAATAATTGTTAACTAGTGATTACCAATTAGTGTATCGAAATATGCCTCTAATGTCAACCTCTCTAAGAGCTGTTTCTGATATAGGAATCGTCACTTCTGCGGGTCCGAGACCCACGAGTACCGCTCGGCCGCCACTTTGGGTCAAAAGCATCGCTAATTTGATACTCGACTGAACGCCTGTGCATTCAATCGCAGCGTTAACTCTGCCTCCGATCGCTTTCTTCACTTTTTCGATGTTCTGTTCGTCAGAAAGTTTAGTATCGATGAGAATGGCTTTGTCTGCACCCATCTCTTCGGCCACTTTGAGTCGAGCGGCGTTTATATCTATAATTATTTTATCAATTAATAATCACGTTTTACAAAACTATAAGTTTTTCATTATAACCCGTTATATAGATCTTTTTAGCTCCAAATTGTTTGGCAACCAATAGGTTAACCAAACCGATGGGTCCGGAGCCGCATATGAGCACAGAGTCGCCAATTGTTATAAGAGCTCTTCGACACGAATGGACGGCAACTGCCATCGGCTCCACCAGAGATCCCTCTTCATCGCTCATGTGCTCCTCTATCCTGTCATTAATTATGCCATTAATTAAATGTCATTTATATTTGTTGTGACAAAATACTGTATGTTTATTAATAATTACAGTATCAATGATTATAGTTATAAATACTGTGCACACAAATGAGTGCTAGTTTTTTTTAAATGTAATTTATATTGTTTATTGAATCTCATTATTATTCACATCGCGTTTAAAGTAATGTATCGTTGCTAATGACTGACAACTGTTGCAATTGTATTAATTGCTGTAATAACTTTACGGTAATATAAATTTAATATTATGCTATTATTGAAGTTTTATTGAATATTAAAGTTATTGACCATTTTATTCTGGAGGAATATTCTATTTTATAATACAATATTGGTATTTAAGAAACTAATAGACAATATTCATTATTAAGCAATTTTCGTAACAAGTTCCTCAATTTAAAAATTAGTAATTTTTTATTTTCTAAACTCAGAAATAGTTATTGAGATATTTTATGAATAAAATTTTTGGCATTGATTTAATTTTTAAATAAAAATAATATGAATGAAAATCCGGTCTTTTCATATAAAATCAATTAAGTTTTGTATGTTTTGGACAATTTTAACTGTTTTGGTATTTTTGTACTATTTCTATATACAATTACATGTGTTATCAGATTTATATCTTTAAATAATCACAATTTTGTCAAATAAATCAATTCATCGCTTACTTGAAACAGAAATCGGAGTCATATTTAAAATATTGCCTAAGAGTGCCATCAACTGGTGGTGTGCCGTGACTGCATCAATACATTTAATAGTTATATAATTAATTATCAATAATATGTTATCAATAATAGATATCATATATAATATTATATCTTTTGGAAATATATATTTCATAATTAATATAATGCTTAATATAAACATAAGCTTAAATTAAAGTTTAATTACATAATATTAATAGCATTAACAAATGAAAAATGAGAATAATTAATATTAAAACATTATAAAACAAAAGTACAGTAATTGCAATTAGTTATGTAATTAGAATAATAATAGAAAAATGTTTATAATACAAACCATTTGACGTCTGGACACAAATTATATGAACCGGTTTTGCAGAAAGAGCAGAGACGACAGGGAACGGTCGGCTCGACGGCCACCCGATCGCCAACTTTGATGTGAT